GTCTGTTGCACAATTTAAAATGATGGGCTTATATGAAGTATAGGTAAAATTAAAAACAAATTAAAAGGTTAAGATAATTAGATTGCACATGATTATTACATAGAAGCAGGCTGTTATTGTAGAAACACTGAACCAGGGCAGCCAAGGTTATGTGGATATGGAGCAACAGGAAGGCCCCTTGGCCCTCCCCATGTCTCTGCGTGGTACCTGCTGGACTATGGAATATGATGGAAACTAAATGGGCTTCTAAACCAAGTGGGGAAAAGTAATTCACAGCTGCAATGCTGCTTGGCAAAATATCACTTGAGAACCTGTCATATAGAGGAGCTCTGTGCCTTTTCAATCACTTTTAGTGCACTCTCTTGCCTGTCCAGGGGAATCTGTCTGAGTGGACAAATTCAAAACCCTTGCTGTTAGTTCTGGAATGTTATATTTAAATGCTAGACAGCCTTTCAGACATACAACACATTCAGATAAAAGACTTTGGAAAGCCATTTGGATGGAGACTGCCTTCTGCAAAGTCAAATAGGTTACTGCCCGAGTCTGCTATGTTCATTCTAATAGAGGAATCCTTTGCATTATTTGGAAAACTTACTCGTTTAGATACAAATCTCAGAATCCCCCAGTCAGCATGGCCTATGTGACTGTGATGGGGGCAGTACTGAACAGTAGTTTTTCTGACCTGAAGTACTGGCTCCATCAAAGACCACCATTTACTTATCTAATCTGTGCACCTCCATAATCTCTGTCTGCATCTCCCATCAGCATGGCCAAATATCAGATAAATTGGGAGCTGTAGTCCAAAACAAATAGAAGGAGTCAACTTGAGGAAGCCTTATTTATACAACAGCTAATAGTCATTGATAATTGCTCATAAAACATATGCCTGGTATGTAATTCCCATGTATATTTCTGGAGATCTATTAAAGACAGCTATCTTTACTGTGAGTTTATTTGAAGCACCAGGGTGTGCAATATTAATGACTTAAGTGCTAGACTATATGGACTTACCGCTTGACAAATGAATTGTCAGTCACTCCTACCAAAGAAAAGCCTATGGCATTCTCAGGCTTTGTATCTATCCTATGAAAGCCAAGACAGTCATTAAAATAGATGCATAGAATGTTCTTGCTACCCTGTTCTCACAGACCTATGACAGTAGTGAAGTAAGGAGGCTTAAGAGGATAAGGAGGGGGGTTATGGGCTTCCAAGAGAACAATAGCTTTATGAATGGGACACATCAGGAAATGTTATGTAAGAAAGGAGAAAGAGAGAGTGATAGGTTCACAGTGCACATAAATGGCAATTGGGGAGAAATAGCTTGCAGTAGCCAGAAGATGATGATGTTGGTGGTGATGAGAGGAAGAAAAGAAATCTGAAATACTCTTTCTGAATAAACACCCAAGTCTAGTACCAAGCCTTCATATTTGTCTTCAAGACACCAAAAAGACAAACATGTTTTTCCAGATTGAGCAACTCAGGTATGACATTGCAAATTCTAACATAAGTCATTATTAAAAGTTGTCTACAATTTTTGTTTTGAATTCATCTATAGATTTGTTTCTGTCTAGGAAAGAATTGGGTCATTTTGATGTCTCCTTCAGTTCAGTAATTCCTACAGTCAATTAATTAGTGCTAAGAATAGAATTGTACTCAGGTTAGGACAAGATGAATCGGAAAATACGCTGTTGCTAGGAAAAGTGGAAAACAGGGTTTTTTTTTTTTAAAAAGAGGACGATCTAACCGAAGATGGATTAACTCCATAAATGAAGCCATGGTTTTTAGTTTGCAAAACCTGAGTAGGGCTATTAATCATAGGACCTTTGAGAAATCATTACTTCACAGATCTGTTGTAAATCAGAAATGATTAGACAGAACGCAACAGCAAGAACAACAGAAGAGGAAGACAAGACACCTAGCAGGAGACTTAGAAGCAGTTGAGATGATGAAACTCAGTGGGTTGGAACATCTAGCTGCCAAGGCAGAACTAAAAATTCAAATTTCCACTTTACCTCCCAGGAGAGGGGCCAGACAAGATCCCTTGGAGTGTGTATGGCTGATGGGTTATCTGCCCTGCTACTTGTGTACCTTTGGGCAAGTTGTATCGTCCCAGACAACCACCAGAAAGAGGGTTTTGTAAACCATTTCCGAGAGCTTTGTACCTGGAAAACTTTGGCAAGATTGCCATAAACTGTAGATCAGCTAGACTGCACATATTTCATTGTCTGTTGCACAATTTAATAGGTAAAATTATATGAAGTATAGGTAAAATTAAAAACAAATTAAAAGGTTAAAGATAATTAGATTGCACATGATTATTACATAGAAGCAGGCTGTTATTGTAGAAACACTGAACCAGGGCAGCCAAGGTTATGTGGATATGGAGCAACAGGAAGGCCCCTTGGCCCTCCCCATGTCTCTGCGTGGTACCTGCTGGACTATGGAATATGATGGAAACTAAATGGGCTTCTAAACCAAGTGGGGAAAAGTAATTCACAGC